CCTGTCCGGCTTCAGCGCAGACCATCCATTGAAGAAATCCCAGAGAAAGGATCAGAGTGAACCATCTAGATAGCTTTTTGGAATGGTCTGGGGGGGCAGGGCGGTGAGGGAAGCTTGAAATTGGGAGATGATAGTGAGGATCCAGAGACATGGAAAGACTTGCAAGGTCTAAGAGATAAAAATGATTTGGTAATGGATTAGATATAGCGGTAATGAGAAGGATGTTGAAAGATGGCTTCTGAATTTCTGGTTTCCACAATTGCATGGATGATGAGTCTATTATCTAAGATAGGAAACACTGGAAAACCATCTGATTTGGAGGAATGAAACATCATGGGCATATTCTACTGAGGTACATTTAAGATATCTAAAAGGAGAGGTCAACTTGGATATCAAGATCTAGCATTTATGGAAGAGGTTTGGTTTGGAGATATAAAATGATGAGTTACCAAATCTATGGAGATAGGTGAAAGTATAAGAAAAGCTGATGCGGACAGATTCTAATATATACTCAATGGATGAAGAATTCTGAACCTGCAAAGGAAATGAAGGAGTGTCTAGAGAAACTGAGGACTATTATTCAATGAAAGCTAATGATTGAGAAATTTTCAAGGAGAGAATAGTTACCAAGGCTTGTAAATTGTCAGGTGAAATGAGTAAAAAGCATCCTTTGGATTTGATGACTTGGAGAAGTTATTGGTGATCCTGGCTGTCTTGGAGTGGTGAAGACAGAAGCCAGAGAGGAGTTAGTTGAGTGAATAGGAGCTGAGGAGATGGACTCAATGTGAAGAGGGAACAGTGAGTTTTTTCTCGAAAGGCTGGAGATAGATATGGTGGTAAGCAGAGGGGAATGTGGCTTAGTGGTACTCAGTGAATGTGCCATAGGGAAGGTAGAGTTGAGCTGGTTCTTAAGTTTTGATAGGCAGAAGGATGGAGGAAGTGTTTCGAATGGACAGTAGGTATCATGAGTGAATATATCTTGGTGGTATAATGAGGAAACTGGCTTAACTGCAGTAGTATGGACTTTAGGAGTAATGAGAAATATATTTGTATAGGTAGGGAGGGTGAGACTGAATTTCAGAGGGCTTTGAAAATCTGGGAGAGGATTCGATGATGTAACTAATTGGGAGTCTTGATCTAAATGAAGAATGGTAGGATGGAGGTAGGGCTTCAGGGAGATAGTGAACAGTAGTGTGAAAGCCAGACTGAATATCAGGATGAATTGAAGCAAGGAGAGCATGCAATTATCTGTGTGGCCTGCCACAGTTACGTAGGCATGAAGTGGGGAACATGGATTAGATAGGGTAAACTGGCCTGCGCTAAGAGGGGAAAGAAGTTAATTTCTGATGATTGTATTATAAATATTTATGATTGATGCTATATATAAAAGACCATGTAGAATTTATACTTTATGAAGCATTTTTGTGTATATAAGCTATTTTAATCTCCACTTTAACCACCCTATGTACCAAGGAAGGGTCATATTACTGTTCTCATAGCTAAGGTTTAGCTCAAATGCTGCTGTTTTCCTAAAACTTTTGATTCTCTGTTCCTTTGTCTTCCTGTGTTTTCTTTTAAATTTGAGGTATGATTTATATGAGGTAAAATACACAAATCTTAAGTGTACAGTACAGTTAGTTTTGACAAATGCATATTGCCCGTGTAACTTATACCTTTATGCAGGTAAAGAAAAATGACCTTTGCAAGAAAGTTATTTTTGCCTCTTTCTTGCTAGCCCCTCTACTATCCCACAGTTGAATATGAATATGCTACAGTGTTAAATACAATCTCTTATTGATGGACATTTGCATTGTTTTCAATTTTTGGCTACTATGAATAGATCTGATGTGAACATTTTTTTGTAAGTCTTTTTGTTAACACGTTTTCATTTCACTTGAGTAAATGCCTAGGAGTGAAATTTCTGGGTCATAGTTGAATATTTAACTTTACAAGAAACAATTTTCCAAAGTGATTGTGCCATTTTATATTTGCACTAGCAAATTCTGAAGAGTTTGAGTTGTTCCACATTTTCATCAACATTTTATATTATTAGTCTTTATAACCACTCTAGTGGTTGAGCAGTGATGTATCATTATCATTGTGCTTTTAGTTTATATTTTTCTGATGCTTGGTGATGGTGAGCTTCTCATTCTTGTGCTTATTGGCCATTGTATATATTCTTTTGTGAAATGTTTTCAAGTCATTTGCTTATTTTGTTATATAAGTCATTTGTCCTTTTGTAGGATTTTTTTTGTTTTCTGGATAGGAGTTCTTTCTCAGCTATTTATCTGTACTGTGAATGTTTTCTCTTGGTTTGTGGATTTCCTTTTCATTTTCTTGACAGTGTCCTTGAATGAGCAGTTTATTTTAATTTTGATTGTGTCTAATTTATTTAATAATACTTGCTTTTATGACGATTTTTATATGAGTCTTATCTAAGAAATTTTTGTCTTCCTCACCACTGCAAAGATTTTCTTCTGTTTTCTTTTTAGTTTTCATTCTTGTATCTAGGTCTATGATCCATTTTAAATTGTTTGTGTGTATGTGTGTGGTGTGAGGTAGGGGTCATAGTTCAATTTCTGCTCACATGAATATCCAGTTGTTTTAGCACAGTTCATTGAAAAGACTTATTTGCCCTTTAAATTGCCTTGGCATCTTTGCAAAAAGTCAGTTGACCATTTATGTGAGGCTCTGTATCTTTTTTTCTTTATTTTTTGTTTTCAGCAGTTTTATTGTTACCTTCCTACTGTGGGTTGCTTCTTGTTTATCTTGCTTGAGGTTTACTGAGCTATGATCTATTGGCTGCTATTTGTCATGTTGTTTGGAAAAATTTTTGTCACCATTTATCCAAATAACATTTGCGCTTTATTCTATCTTTTTTTTTCCAGACTCAACTAAATATAGACTGCCTGTCTCTTTAATCTTTTTCTCTTTTTGCTTCGGTTTGCAGTAACTTACACTGAAATGTTTATAAATTGTTCTTTATTTTTCAGGATCTAATTTACTGTTAAACATATCCCATGCAATTTTTATTTCAGATATTATATTGTTTATTTCTCTGTTCCCATGTTAACCTCTTTCTCTATTGCCTAATCTTTCCCTTGATTAGTGTCACAATTCTCTCTCTCTTTTTTTTTTTTTTTGCATGCCTGATAATTTTTAATTATATACTGGACATTATATTGATACATTGTATAGATTTTAGGTTTTATTATTTTCCTTTGAAGAAGGATACATTTTATTTAGCAGGTAGTCAAATTACTGATGGATCACCTTGGTCATGATTTTAGCCTTTTTTTTGTGTGTGAGTGTGTGAGAGTTTATATTCTACATTTTTGATTTTAGTCCCAAGTCACAGACTTTTATCCTGAGCCTTGTTTCTTACTCCTAAAGCATGGCCTTCTGTGGCCTAACTGGAAATCTTGTGAAATTTACCAAGCTTCTCTAACTCGATAGGTCTAGAACTCTGAAATTTATCTTGGAGCCTTGGGGAACTGGTGAAATTTCTGCCTACCTCTTAGTCTTCTTCTCATTTCTGGACTTGATGGGTTCCTTTGTAGTCTTATCCTGTGCATGCACAGTTCAGGCCTCAGAGAAGGATTTGAAGTATGTTTATATATAGGTTTATGGCTCCATATGTCAAAGAATCTCCCTATTAACTTTAATCTGCTCTGGCCGCCCCAAATTGTGACCTTTGACTTTTCTGTTAGAACTCTGTCACCTATGAACTATATGTATTGGGAAGTGCTCTCAGGGAAAAACAGTTAAATGAATATCTCACTTAATGTATCTCCCTTTCTTCAAGAGTTTGTCTTTTCCAGTTTCTATTTATTTTTGGTTGGTTTTTAGTGCTTTGAAACAGATTTCTTTTCATATTTTGTCCTATGCTTTTTGATTTAGCATATATTTTGCTAAATCAAGTTGTAATTGGTTGTTATATATTTGTTTTTCTTAATATGTAAGTTTTTTTGAGAGTAAAAATATGTTTTACTGTTATTTATTCTAGCCTATTGCCTCACCCAGGCTAGTGCCTTTTACTTAACAGTTACTCAATAAATGTTGAATTCTATTGTTATTTTTATGAAGACCAACTGTGAGTCAGAGTTTAAACTTAGTTTTCTACTCATTAGTTAATTTATCTTTTTAGTACACTAAAAAGAGTAGAATATGAGTTCAAAGGGGATTTTTTTGGTAGATATTTTAAATATTTTGAAGTATTTTTAAAAGCATTTTTACTCCTAAAATATTTATTTAAAAATAATTTTTTATTTTTATACTTTAATATTTTAATTTTAATTCCTTTTAATGCTAACATATTTATGATGTTATCTGTAATTTGCTAAAGCTATTGCTTATGACTTTGGCAAATAGACCAGAGATGTTTCTTTATTTAGAATAATGAGTTTCCAAATTCTGTGTAGTATGTGGTTGAAAATAATATCTTTGAATAATTTTATTTTAAGAAGGGATTCTTCAGTGGTATTTTAAATTAGACTTCTTAAGATCAATCTAATTTTTAAACAAAGAATTTGTTTCATCATGTCAAAAAATACATTAATTGAATTTTTGGAGGAGCCATTTAAGTTTGCCTCTCTTATCAAGTCCTGAATTCTCAATTCGTGAAGAAGTGATTGTAGCCCTAATCTTAATAAACTCACCTGTTTTTACGTGTAATTATTATAGTTATAAACATTTATTTAATATTAACTGTACCTTGTTTTCATAGCTTAGCATATATTTGAATGCAAAGAGCTATTATAAACTGGCTTCTCTTCAGTGGAGTTTTTAGTTTGAATGCAAACCTTTTATTTATTGCAGATCGCATTTGATGATCATGTTAAATTGATTATGTCAATTTCAAGAATAGGTTTTATTATGTGTAACATAAAAATTCATAGTTGCATTTGTCTATCTTTATGAATTTGTCTTTTTTGATTACTTGAAAGAAGTACATTGTTAAATAAAGCTAAAAATCTTCCTTTTTCTTCTTTCTTCTTTAGAATCGAGTTTCTTACTGGGAAATGCCCAGATTGTAGATTGGCCTGTAGTTTATAGTAATGACGGTTTTTGCAAACTCTCTGGGTATCATCGAGCTGACGTCATGCAGAAAAGCAGCACTTGCAGGTAGGTAATAGAACAGCTCAGGAACCTTTTCTGAAGTTTAACTAATTGCTGAATGTGGTTAAAAGGCTTAAACTGACTTAGACTCACAGTGATATTGTGATTTATAATAAATATATTTTTGAATCATAGAACCCCGAGCTGGTGTCCCAAGAATTGCTTCTTGTTGGCGTGGAGGAATCCTCCCCCCAACACAGTAGAATTAACACCAGAACTTACTTGCTCACATATAAAAACTATAAGGTAAAAGTTACTTAGAATACTAAGGAGACTAAATCGTCAATGGCAATATATGGTTTAAAAGCCATTAGTGAAAATTTTTGCAAAGAGAAGGATTTTTGCATATCTGTGAGTTTATGAATTTATTCAATAAATATTTTTTGTAACCTATGAGTCGAGAACTATTCTAGGTGCTGAATGATCAAGAAAGCATCTTATATTAGGGAACCACTGATGGCATCAGCACTTCCTGCTGCCAAAACTGTCTTGAACAAAATAAACAACCCCTAACCAAGTAGGACATGTTCATGAACAATTAAAGAGCATCAAAATAAAGTTCTTACATCCCGTGTAAATCATACATACTTTGTCATGTTGATGCCTTGTACTGTTGCTATTTTGTTTGACTTATGTAAAACAGAATCTGACATTTATGTTATTTATAACAATTCTTTTAAAAATGAGCCATATCTGTGAGCTTAAAGAGAGTATTATAAAAATGAAGATCATAAAAAAAGAAAACTCTATATAAGAAACCAATTTATAACTGAAATCTTTTTCACAATATTTCAATAAAGCCAGATGGGATGTTTTATCTTGAGTTAATTTTTCTTTAAAGATCTCACTTATCTAAGCACCCAAATCATGTTATTTTAGAACTACAAGGGATCTAAATTATTTTCTATTTCAAATCTTTTTGATTTTCAGAGGAGAAAACGGAGGTAGAGTTTTATGCTAAGAGACTTGTCCATAAATTATTTATTTGCCTTTTCTCTACTCTTTTATGCCGATAAACACATGCATATACAAATATATGTATTCTGCATCTTCATGGAGGGCAAAGATTTCATATTATGGGGGTCTAAACCTGATCACACATAGGAATCTCTTAGAGAAGTTTTACAAGACATAGATTTTCTTACCTAACCTCAAGCCTATTAAATCAGAATCACCCAAGGTGGGTAGGTGGGGGCAGGAATCAATACTTTTAACTATCAGCTCCTATGGTTCTGATGCTTAGCTAGATTTGAGAAATATTCTGTCAAACATCCTTTTAATTTATCCTCTTCCAAATGATCCTCATTTTTCTCTTTACTACATCATTCTCACACTGTGTCTTCACTCCTACATCTGAAATTGGTAAATAGAATGATGAAAAACTGTGGTCCCTCGTTGAGAAATCCCCTTTGGGACCACTTATGTCTTTCGTGCCTTATCTGTTGAGTAGATATTAGCTCTTGGGCTAGCGCTTCCCCTACGGTGTATGATGTGAGTTCTTGGAGATTAAGATTTGTATTGAGTGTCTCTGTTCTCTTATGTCTCAGCAGAGTTTAGATTAGGAAAAGGTTTTATGACAGATCTTACTTGTGGAATAGACTCTATAAAGAGTTTCAGAGAATGTAGGTAGATGCTCCCATTTCCTTTTCTTGGACTGCGGACATCCCATCATCATGCCAACGCCTGTTTCAATGCCATCTTCCACCTGAAGGTATTTATAATTCTCTCAACAAGATACGGTTTTCCCCTTCTGACTCTCCACAGTTCGTCATTTGGCATCATCATATGGTTAAATTAGCTTTCCTTATCCCTTGGGGTTTTCTTGCTGTTGCTTTTGTTGTCGTTTTTGAGAAGTATTGCTCTTCATATCTGGAAATATTTTAAAGTCCTGCTGCCATCTATTCTTGCTTCCCATGAATCTGCCCCACCCTCAGGCTGTTTTCTTTAGCATGTGCAGTTTTCCTACAAAAGAGTTCATTTAAAAAATGCTGACATGTTATATTAGCATATTCTCTCCTCTTAAAGAGTTGCATTTTCCCTCCCACCACCAGTACCAGATTATAAAGGCATTGAAAGTAGGGATTCCATCTTGTACATTTTTGTATGCACTAGGACACAGTTCCGTGTTTTGTGTCAGTATTTGTTGAATTGGGTTGGCGTGTTTTACAGTAAACCCTAACCTAGGTCTCACGTGCTTCCATATAACATGCTTTTTTTTTAATTGTATTTCACCCCAAGGATTATGGTATTTGAGGTGGGTAATAGAGAGGAGAGCTTTGGATTATGTTATGCTTTTTCACTCTGAGAAGAAGTATGCAATTCTCCCTCAAACCTCTCTTTCACGATTTTAGAGACTATTTTCAAAATGATAATATTCTTAACATAAGCAGTTATTACTTGATTGCACAAAATATCCCGTATGTTTAGCTAATCTAAAAATTGCAGTAAGTTTAATGCCGTCACAGAGCAATGAAGACTAGCAAATGATGTTTGAGCCCTATCAGGTTTTCCAAGAGGCATAGTTTGTTTTTATGTACTCCCCCTTTAAATTTCTTCATCCCTTTTAAAAATTAAACTATACTCATTTTATGTTGCAGTATATTTTAGAAGAATGAAGATTGGAAAATAATCAAAATGTCCAGTAGTAGATTTGTTAAAAAATATGGCAAAGCCCTAACTTTCTAAATCGTATGTTGGAAGGATAATAACTCTGGAAGAAGCTAACAACATGTTATTAAGTAAAACATAAAATCAACCAACCGACTAAACAAAAAAATCAGTTTACAAAGCAGTATCTGCAACATGATTCTCATTTGTTTACAAATTTCCTGTATAAATCTATAAAAGCCTTTGAATATGAGACACAAGGAAACTGAGAGAGGAAGAAAATTATGTACACATTTATAAATACAGCAGCAAAAAGTTATAGAGTTTTGGAATCACTGAAATTCAATTGAGTATAGAGATAAATTATTTGACATTGAGGATAGCTTTGTAAATAATGCAAAGAATTTTATTGATTTTAATAATGATAAGTTTTAAACAAACATAACAGAATAAGAAACTACAAATCAGTGGAAAAAATATGACATTTTTTGTGGAAAAAAATGTGACACTTTAGATGCTCAAAAAAATCACCTTTATATACCACTTGTATTAGTTGGATTAAAGTCAATAAGATTAAAGTAATAACTGAATAAAGACTAATGTTCTATTTTTTAAATGTTCAAATATGAATTGTTTTATGGGAAAATTAAAAACTCTGGGTGGTGAACATACAATGCAATGTATTTATGACTTACTATTGAATGATACACTTGAAACTTATTTTGTTAATCAATTGTCACCAAATAATTTTAATCAAAAATAATAATTTGTGATTTTACAGTATCAAGAGGCTAAGATTTCCTTCCTTCCTTCCTTCCTTCCTTCCTTCCTTCCTTCCTTCTTTCCTTCCTTCGTTTGTTTTATTGTCCTTCCAAACCCTTCCCTCATTAGATTAAGTGCAAAGAATCTAAACAGACATACTCCTCAGTTTGTCCCAATATTATTATCGTACTCTCTGTGGGCAAGCTATTTTATTTTTTTCCCTTTTATTTCTTTTCCCCTTCATCGTATCCCCCTTCCTCTTCCATAGTTATTTATTATAGTGTGTTTATTTATGTCTTTCTACTCTATCTTTTGTTTATTAAATATATGTATTCTTAAAAAATATCACTTCATGTGTGTTTGTTTTTTAAGACCCACATAATGTATCATGCAGTAAGACTTATAGTTTCTTATTTTTTTCACTCAATGTTATGTTTTTGAGATTTTTTTTATGTTGCTATGTGGTAATCTATTTCATTATGTCTGACTGTTGTATAATGCTCCAGTTTCTTCCCAGCTTTCATTTTATTTATTTGTTCTATTAGTCATAAACTCCAACTTCTGACACTTTGCTGCCTCAAACAACTTGGAGATCGATATCCTCCTACACTTTTTCTTGTGGCCCCATGTGAGAAGTTTTCTGTCTATGCCCAGAAATAGGATTGCTAGGTAGTAGAATATATATGGAATTTATAAATTAACCGCTCTCAGATTGCTGTCAGGTAGCCTTCTATTTTTACTCTCACCACACATGAGTTGAGGATATTAGTTTTCTGACATCTTGTGCTTCATAATAGTATCTAAATTTCCATTTTAATAAATGTGATGTATGCTATGTACTGTCTCATTCTTATTTTAGCTAAAATTTAAAAAAATATTGTTATGACACTTCAGGATTTCTAGAATTTCAAATCTAGTCCATTTTATTGTCTAATAATTGCATTCCATGCCTTTGGATTGTTTTGCTGTTTATTGAAGGACGCAAAACACATTGCATGTTTGACGAGATTGTAGGTTCTGAGTCAATAGCATTTAAAGCATATGATCTTATCTTATGACCCCTAGGAAACCCTGACATTCAAGACTTACTCTCATTGTTTAGGTAGAAACCACTTTAGCATTTTATCTTTCATTAACTGGAAACATTTAAAAGCCCATTCTCCTTTTTTTCCCCTCCTTTTGTTTTGTTTTTGTTTTTAGGATAAAGGGGTGAGAAGAGCAATCATGTAGGTAAGGAAGATTGGAGTAGATAGATGCTTTCAAAATCATTTTTTTTTTTTTCTGGAAAGGTCCATTAATAATCCTTTGCCCAAGCCATCAAATTAGAGAATGAAGCAGAGATATTAAGAGACAATTTATTGGATGTATTTCACAAGTAGTTTTATAACACAAGATTATCTCAGCCAACAAGAGCACATTACACATGATGGATCTCAGTCAGTCTAGTTCCATTTGGCTGAGGGTGCTGCTTCATACAGTGGCACTGAGGGAAAGTGTTGGACACCAGAGGTGCCTCAGTGATGTTCACGCTCTGAGGTTAGAGATGTCCAGTACTATCCCTAGAATCCCTTAATTATGTCATGAGTCTGACCTTTATGACTCTATCTAGTCTTCTTAAGCCCATATAAATTAATAGGCTGTGAAACCTTTTGGTCACAATCTACTATATAAAGTAATGCTTTGATTTATTCCAAATTTTTTTTTTTTCAGAGTTTAAAAGCTTCGTTCTTATTTATTTCTAAATTCTCCTCCTCCTCCTCCTCTCTCTTAGGCATCTTTTTTGATCCTTTGACTGCAGATCTCAGCCCATCCTCCCATTAACTTTTGTGATGATTTTACTCTTATGGCTGCTTCTGTGCCGAAGACCACATTTACCAACTGCATTAAGTCAATCTGTGTGGTTTCTGTAATGAAGCATTTGCTAGCATGTGAACTACAGCCCGTAGATGGTAATATTTTTTTTCTAGTGGTGACTGAATGCAGTGTTTTAGTCCAGGAACATTGTTTGACCATTAGCGAATTGAGATAGATGAAGGAAATCATGATTAGGTTATATATTTTTTTCAGTTTTTAAGATTCTTTTCTCTCTCGGAAGTCTATCAACATAATAGCCATTCTTACTGTGAGGTATCATAATGATGCTTGTTTGTGAGATTTTGATGGCAGAACAAGGGATCTAGGAATAAGTAAATCCTGTTATAAACCAAAGTCACTTGTCTCCATAAGTTTCCTAGGGCACAATATACACAAAAGATACACTGCCAAATGCTTAGGCAAGCTGGACATGGCTTAGCCCAGGCCCGAGGAAAACTGCTTTACTCCCAGGACCAAATCTTACTACCAGTTATTTGTGTGGCAAGAGAAGTGGCCAGATTATCCAGGAGCAGGCCCTGGGTGAGTTTATGCTTCCACCTCATGGGCTTGCAAAGAAGGCACACAGAATGATGGGCATCTCCCTTTAAGACTCAGTGATCCTGTCCATTAGCAAGTGTAGCCCAAGCCCTAGAATGGTGCAGAAGCAACGGGATTGGGGCTGGAAGGGCCTTCTTTTAAATTCACCCACAAGAAGCATTCCGGTAATAGCTCAGCCATTATGTAAAACAGTCTAATTTGCAACTTCATGGGCATTATCCCTTTAATCTCACCCTCTGGGCTATATTAACATTATCATCATTTTACTGATGAGGAAACTAAGAGTGAGCGAGTTTATACCACTTGTCTGTGAATTATAGTCCTCCAAGTGCAGTAGTCCTCTGTTATATCATGACTGCTTAATATCATAGCAGAGATAGATTGCTTCTGTGCATCTAATTTTTCCTTCCAATCAAACACACAGTGCAGTTGTAGAAGTAATTTATAATAGAAGTGAAACAATGTAAGAAATAAAAGACTATCTTTATAAAAAGTGTTATGATGGTAATAGTTTGGGATTTTTTTCTTAAAAATGCCTTTATATTCTTAGGACAGGAGATTTTAGCATTAGGAGGGCTAAAATAATGAAGAATATATAATAGGATTTTCATAGTTTATTTGAAAAATTGCTGATTTTCATCTTCTCTCCAGAATTTTGGCTGAATCAAACTTGTGTTATATTTCCTAAGTGGTATTATTACATCAGTTTCCAAAACAGTCTCTTTTTAGTTGTAACTTAATTTTATATTTGATTAGAGTGTATTTTTTTTATGATTTTTATCCTAATTGCCTGTTATATTATAGATGCTTTTTAAAATGTTTTTTTTTGGTGTTGTTGTTGACCAGTTTTAAATATTGTGTTTCAGTTTATTGAATCTTGACATTTAGTAAAAGGAGTAAAATGGTTTTTATTTTCTTAAGACCACAAACATTTAGTTAGCTTAATTAACTTTTTCTTATCTTTTTATTTTTGTTTCTAATGTTTTCTCTTTATTAAAGAGTTTTTAGATTAAAAATACAGTCAGTTATCATTATCATCATTCAAAAAACTGGTTGATTAAAAAAGTTCACCTGTCTGTAAAGAATATTATTAACAGTATTAGACTAATGTTTTATTTTTTGGAGGGAGGGACTTTGCGCTTTCTAACTGAAGTATTCTAATTTCATTGCAGTGCCTTCAAGAGATTTTCAAAAACTCACATGAGCTGAAACCCAGGCTTAGGTGGGAAGTGGCTTTTCACTGCCATCTTACAGGCAGACGCTGAAGTTTCATGTGTTAGTTTAGCTGTAAGATTATGGAATTAGAGTCTGTTATTTTATTCCGAGATTCTTATTCATTTTTACTATTATAATGACAACTGCAAATATCTTTTTTTAATAAAATATTGAAATATCGTAATCGAAAAGGCAAGCTGCAGATTGCTAGGGCAATCTTTGGTCTGCCTCATCTGCTTTCTTTCATTTCTTAGTTTTTGGAATTCTAGTTTCTTAGGTTAGTGTTACCATAAGATTGGCCTGTGTTGCTCTAATTCCTAGTTGTGATATGGCCTTGCTATTGAATCCTGCTAGTTTTTGGTGGATCCTACTAACAAACTATGCTTTTCAGGTTGTAAATTTTCTAGATTGTTACATTTAGAGGTAGTTTTTCCAAGAGGATAATGAATCTTAACCTTCATGGGCCCTAACTTGAGTAGATGTCTTTCAAGCCTCTGTGCCTAATTTTGTTTTATAATTTCGTATTCTTTTCTGTAAAGAGGGCTCCTAAAATGTGTATAAGCTTCAGGCCCCACCACACTTGGATTTGCTTCTGGCCAACATGCTAACTCATTGAAAACTGGAAAAAAGCAACAATAAAGATATACTTGAGGCTTCAAAAACTTATTCCTTCCTCGTGGGAACAATGACCTAGACAAGTATACTAGCTAGTAGAACTGTGTATCTTAAACCAGATGAACAATTGATGATCGTGAAAGCATCAGGGTAGAGTTGTAGAGGCTTGTAGTCCTTAACTGAGTTCTGTTTTGTAGATTATCAGATTTTTGGTGAATTTCTTGTAGAAAAATAGGTAATTTTAAACATTAGGAAAATTCATGTGGCATGTAAAAGCTCACTCTTTAATTCATTTTGTATGTTCTTTTAGCCATAGTAATAGTGTATGTCTTCTTCAATTTGTCACCTGTATTTTCCTCCCATTAGCCTTATTTGTATATATATATTTAAAAAATCCACATAAATGATGAGAATATCAGTGTTTTATGTGTAATATGAAATGTTCACATTTCATATAGTATGAAAGTATGAAAAAGATCATGCATTCTGAAACCATGTAATACTATCCTAATACTCTTTGGAAAAAATGTTCTGTGACCTTTTGCAATGTTTGTCAAAACATTAAAAACTCTCCTACTGTTGGTTATAAATGCATGAAAATAATATTAGTAGAACTACTATTTATTTAGTACACTGTGATTCAGAACATTAGAAGCATTGAGAATTAAAGTGTTTCATTTCTTTGTGAAAAAGCAGCATGGATCATTTGAACGTTTCTTGCTTTCTTATAATATAACTTATGACACAAAGAGAGCGTTTTTTTTCTATCTCTGCAAATAGTCATACTTCCCTCTAGGTTTGAATCAACTCTAACTCTTTTATCCTTCCACTCACACTGTTGTGAACTATCTCCTAGGGCTTCTTTAATATCATTGTTTTTTTTTAATTGGCATCACTTCCTCTGAGAAACCTTGATCCTTTTTGTCGTGATCACTTTCTTGATTTACATTGATAAATTCACCTTCACTAAGGTTCTCTGGCTGCATATCTAGAATCTCTCAATGGCAGTAATGTCAGCTTTCCCACATTCATTTATTTCTTCTATAACTTCATTTATGTTCAATTCATATTCTCTTTCGGCATTATCATTTTCATTTCTTTGATGGACTTTAATCTTTGATGACTAATTCTTGCTTTTGATTTCTATTTTTATAAAATGTCATAAGGATTTATCACTGCAAGACAAGAAAGCAACACAACTACATACATGCTTTGATTCTGTGTGTGAACCGAGTAAGAGATACACAATGAGCAATACCAACAGGCTTTGAAAGAAGTGAGATGATTGGCCACTGGTCATGATGTGTTATCTGTTATTTACTAGTGATTTGTAGACTGAAGAGCTACCAGCAAACTTTGAACTTCATGTGATTACTCCCAGTTAATAGTGTTTGGTAACTGAAAGTTGGTATTGTTGGGAAACTGGCATTATTTAACTAAACTACAGTAATTGAAATCTGTGCATATATGAATTGTGTACAGTGAGATTACTTCTTTCTTTTCTCTCTGTTTGAAATAACTTCTAAGGCTAGCTTTTAGCAAGAAGTTTAACAATCATGATTAAAACATGATTTACATATTTTAGTTCATTTTGTGGGAGCAACATTATATTCGTAACTAAATTTGAATAATTAATCAACACAGACTACTATATGATTTTATGTAGTATTTGAAAAGCAACACAAAACCGAAATGGATTTTTTTTTTCCAGTTTTATGTATGGGGAATTGACTGACAAGAAGACCATTGAGAAAGTTAGGCAGACTTTTGACAACTACGAGTCAAACTGCTTTGAAGTTCTTCTGTATAAGAAAAACAGTAAGTAAATTATCAATAAGATGCGTCAACTCTTTATTAATGTTATTCTTTAGCAGTGGTAGTTGAGATATAGTGTAGAGAGACTATAAAACTTTGTTGCTTCTCTTGGCAGGGACAGGGGATGTTAGTAAAATTAGATAGCAAGATTAATAAATCATTCAGACTATGAAAAACAACCTTTTGAGGAATGGAAGAAAAATGTACATTTTAAATGTGATTTTTTTTTTGTATCAGATGGCAAAATATGCAGTGAATACTCATGGTAAACATTCTGTAGTTATATGACCAACTAAAAATGACAAAGAAGTTCATTTAGTTCTTACGCTTAAAGGAAAAGGTGATTGGTATCACTGGGTATGTGTGATTACCTTTCTATACATACATAGATAACATGTGAATATGAGGTATCTACTTGAGGTGAATCTTTACCAATATGGCCTTTAGCTGGACTAAGACCTAACTTGTGGAAATAGTCATTACTCTTAGAACAAGCCATTAATATCTGATAAATTTATATTGATTGTTGTGAGCTGTTGTCTAGGATGAGATTTGTGAGTGGCCAGTTGTCCATTATATAATCACATAAGACCTCATGGTATGGACTCTCCACCAGTGTTTGGAGGAAGAAACCAAACAAACAGAAAATGAGCTAGTACACCCATCAGCCAATATTTCTTTCTAATTTGTTCTGTTGCTATAGTTCCTTACCTTTATTTCTTTTTGCTGCTTTCCCAAAATAACCTTCCTTTTTTTTTTTTGAAATGAACAGTCACTTCTCAAAATGGATTCATTTATTTAAAGTGTTAATGGTAAATGATAGCAAAGCCAATTATTTTTAGTGGAAGTTGATGGTTACAAAATTCTTCTCCAGGTTGGAACACATTTTGGCTTCAACCGGAAACACTTGTTCTGTGTTCAGTGCCTGTTGGATCTTGTGGAACATCATTTATTCTCTCCATTTTACCTTAAACATTTGTCCTCTGTGGAATATTTGGAATTGAACTTAGGTTTTTCTTTTGATTAATAGAGATGGCAACAACCGTAGTTATCACTCCACAGTGGTACTCTTGGTCATGGCAACATGTCTTTCATGGTTTTACCTAAGGGAAGTCTTAGCATCTTATCTTTTATTTTAGAATCAAGACCGAAGAAGAATATCTCTTTGAAGTCATAGCCAAATGTCTTTTGGCTTGTCATCTAGAAAATGATCCACTCTGAATGATAAGCTATGCCTCTGTAAGAGAGAAGTCAGGCTCTAAATGCTTTCTGGGTCTTTTTCATCAGGTCCAAATCCATACTGATAATTTTTAGTGGACTCTTATGCCAAAACCCCCTTTCATTTTCTTATAGTATTGTTATCTCTTGAATGACTTAGATATATGTCTTAAGTTTAGCAAATAGTTTAAGAATGTTTCATATTACTAAGGTCATTTCACTTTGACATTTAAGCTGAATTAGTAAATCTTTGCCTGATTTTAAAGCATCAAAGCCAAGTCTATAGTTTCTGAGTTTCTCAAAAATAGTCTAGTGGAAATTCTGTTTGTTAATATCTTTTAAATCATGTCAGCAATAACTTGAATTTTACATTTGCAGAAGTCTCCTTCCAAGGTGGTTTAGATATTGTGCTTATTTTAATGGATGAAATGACAGACCTTTGTTCAGGCCTGTCTGGTTCTTTTCAGATAAGTATCAATATATGTGTAGATGTCTGCTTAGAGCTTATAGGAGATACAGCCCAAAGCACTATAGATTAAAACTCCCATCTCCTTTTGTGTAGTATCTGAACTGAGTTATTTTTTCTTTAATATGAAGGATAGATATTATTGAAGTTCTACAGTTTTTAAAAGAAGCTGTAAAAAATCTCATAAGTAAATGAAAGCTTTGAACATCAACGGAAAAAAGTGTATTCTTGCAACTTTTTTCAATGTTAAATAGGAAAATTAGCATGTCTGTAGAAAACTCTTTTGGGAAATGCTTGAATACCAGCTCCTCCCAATACTTTCATTAAATGATTCAGTTAAATACCATTTTGCAAATGGGGAGATTGAGGTATATCCTATTTAACATGGGTCACGATTGACATTTTGGTTTGCAACTTCTAATCTTTAGGCCTATTGCTTTGGTTAGCAGGGGGCTGTTTCTACTGCTGGGAAAGAAACAGTGGCTCTGAAATGATGATTGAAAATGGCTCTTTCTATCTACACAAAGGGCACTGCCTTGAATTTCTAGCAGCTACAGGCCTCTATGCCTAACCTTCCTAGACTTACCATCCCAGTGGACCTCAACTCCAGAATATGTAGGTTTCACCAGCCACTCAGCTAGTACTCAGCCTGCTTGGGGAAGTCTGACCCTGTGGTTCAACTTGACAAAAGTACACCATGATATCTGAAAGCAATTTGAAAAAAACAGCCCTGACTCTATGCCAAAATTTGAAATGTTGCTGTTTTCATAGAAAGATATGAGCTGTAGCATCATCTCTTTTTGCTCAGATTTCTAACAGACCTTGGAAAACAACTTATGTTTAATGCCCTTTTCTCTCAGTTTATGAGCCTGCTGCCTCAAGCTCACTATGATGGAACAGCCATAGGCCATGTATCTGCTAGCATCTGGGTCTGGTGATTTGTATAACAGTGCACATCACTCACAGTGTCCGGACACACTGTGTAAAATAAGAAGCAGAAAACAAAGAATAAGACTCTCTGGAAGATGGTGTAATTGCTTCGGAGGTCCCTGTCTCATCCCGTAATCATTTCAGAAAGGACCATGTCCTTTCATAGGCCTCCTGGGCCTGTAAAGAACTGAATATTGTCAGAACTGAATATTCCCATAGAAATCTCCTCTCTTTAATTCTCTGACTTCTTGAACCTGGTAGTTTAGTCACCTCCTCTTGTCTAAATGGCAAATTCTCTTTTTTAGTGACATTATGATGTGGCTATTTTTTTTTTTTTTTGGCTATGTGTATGGAAGTGTTTCTTATTTGTTTTTAATTAAAAGCCACTAATAGGCTATCAGCTGTCACCTAGAGTCTATTACTAGTTGCACATTTCACTCCCTATACCCCAAACTTGACAAAAGCCTTTATGTCCTTAACATAGACTCTTTGGAGGGCTTTACTGCACTGTGGCTTAGAACCAATATGATGGAAAATGTGTCTTTTTGATTATGATGGAACATTTCTTCAGTGTTTTACTGTTTAGTGGATAATTACTCTTTTGAAGCCATTTCTCTTGTCTTCAAATATTTATTTGACATGATGCCAATTCCTGATTTGTTCAAAACCTAAGCCTTGAACCCTTTGAAACTGTCTGTCCTCTGGAGTCTGCAAGAGCCACTGTTTGAGGAACCTAGTGACAGAGTTCAGCCTGATGCTTTGAGTGAGGGAGGTAGGAAGCAGTGCTGGGGACATTTTATTCTTAACATTTCCGTAAAGGCTTCAAATAGAGCTCTGTGTACATCAGGCTTTATGTCACATCTTCTTTCTCTGATGTGGGGCGTAGTCAAAGCCATAGAGCTATCTTGTAAGTCTATCTGAGAGCATTTCAGATGTTTCTCCTAGAGGAATACTTCCCAGAGCAACAGATATTACTTTTGGAGTCAATTGGAAATACTTCTCAAAGTGACAAGAAGAAGCGTGTAGGAGTGGTCACACTTGGTGAGACTATCAAAAGGAAGTTAGTGGGAGCAGCAGTGGTATAGGGGTCCAGAACTAAGGTGATGCTGGTTTTACTTAAGTAGTGAGACTGCCTTTGTGCTCCTGCATTAAGAAATGACACCCTGTGCTTTACCTTCAGATTTTGATATTTTGGGTTGAAAAATATGTTTATTAATTTTTGAGCAATTGGTAGTTGATATAAAATTAAAGGTTTTTTAAAGAATTCTTTTTAGCAATTAAAATATTGTTGTTTTGGTGCTGATTCTTGGCATAGCAGTTGGCAGCTGAGGGAAGAGGGCAGGCAGGAGACCAAGTCATTGCTGTGGCTGTGTCATACTCTTGTCCTTTCTTTCTCTTATAGGAACCCCTGTTTGGTTTTATATGCAAATTGCACCAATAAGAAATGAGCATGAAAAAGTGGTCTTGTTCCTATGCACTTTCAAGGATATCACGTTGTTCAAGCAGCCAATAGAGGATGATTCAACAAAAGGTAATTTTCAAAGGAGTTACCACACTTAAGAATTAGGCTGCCACTTAAATTTTATTATTATTATCATCATCATCATCATCATCATCATCATCATCATCATCATCATTTTACCAAAATCTGTTGCTTAAGCTGGCCCTTCTTTTGCTTCACGTTCATATTAGCAATTGTCCAAATCAGTTTAATTCAATCATATTGTTTGAATGGAAACAGAGAATCGAAATAATAGTTGCTAAACTTATAATAAGAGAAATCAAGGAAAGATATAAGGAAGAGATTTCATAGAACGTTATTTATTTAGAATCAGTATAATGGGAATTTTAACAACTTATAACATGGTGAGTTTTAGAAACAAAATGTCTAACAATTTGTTGGTTAGTTTGGGTGAAGTCATATTAGAACACAGTTGATTGAATTTTGCTAAATTGATTAGAGTTTGATTAGTTGACTTTGTCAGGTTACCTTTCACCTTTTATTTCTTTGGCTGTTGTAATCTCTTTGGTAGATGTTGCTAGATTATGTAAAGAACAAGTTTGTCATCAAGAGAGTATCTGGAAAATGAAAACATTCTAATTGGAGTCTTACCAACTATACTATTCAGAGAGACTGCTATAGAAAACATTAGTCAGCGGCATGTCCTTTTACTGTTATTTTATTCTCTCCAGTTATGTTTAAATTAGATATTGGCGTCATATGAATGAAAATTTGAAATATCCTTAAAAACTTTTATGAAACATTTTTAATAATCTTTTAGGAGACTAAAAATGAAATGTCTTCCTTTTTGCATTTGGCAAAAATGGCCTTGTCTTACCTCTTTTTAAACAACTGGCATACAAACTTTAATATTTTCAATTGTAATCATAATTGTAGAAAAAGTTACATTACATTTATTCTCAGCATATGAAATCACATACGTATTACTATTACCCGTTCAGTTTCTGGTTAGCATCAAATTGCAAGAAAAAATTTTACAATTTGTAAACCATTTGAAGTATAATATAGAACAATTCATTTGTGAGTATTTCTGGAAATATGTTTATTAAATTGAATAAATTGATGATTGAATAAAGTATTCATTCACTTTCGGATCCATCTTACCTGTTTCTCTACCTTTACTCATAGAACCAGTATCTAGGAAGTTTAGAATAGTCTTCTAATTAATGCTCTTTTGTTTGTTTTAAAATTCAAAGTGCTCCAGCCAATAGCAGCAGAATACATATTCTTCTCAAGCTTAATGGAACGTTCATTAGGTAGATCAGATTCTGGCCATAAAACACACCTTGACAAATTTAAAAGAATAGAAGTCTTATAAAATATGTTCTTAGACAACAGTGGAATTAAACTAGAAAATCCCCAAATGTTTGGAAATGAACACTTTTCTCAATAGCCATAGATCAAAGAAGAAGCCTAAAGGTAAATTAGAAAAATATTTTGAACTAAATCAAAATAAAAATACAACTTATCAAATATGTGGGATGCGGCGAAAGCACTGCTTAGAGGAAAATTTATAACACTAAATGCATATATTAGAAAAGAGGAAAGATATAAAATTAATAGCCTAAGCTTCTACCTTATGGAAGTAGCCAAAGAAGAACAAACTGAAGACAAGAAATAAATCTTAGAGCAGAAATCAATGAAATAGAAAATAGAAAAACATTAGAGAGAATCACTACAACCCAAAGCTGATTCTTTGAAAAAATTATTACAGTCAGTAAACCTCTAGCAAGGCTAACCAAGAAGAATAGGGAAGATACAAATTACCAATATCAGAAATTAAAGAAGGGCCATCGCAACCCATCCGATGGACATTAAAGCATTGTAAAGGAATACTTTGAATAGCTCTATAGCTACCGAATAGATAACTTAGTTAAAGTGTGTCAATTCCTTAAAAACACAAACTACCAGAACTCACACTAGAGAAAATAGATAACCTGAATCATCCAATAGCTCTTAAATAAATTGAATTAATTAATAAACTTCCAAAACAAGAAAACACTAGGTACAGATGGTTTCATTGGCAAATTCACTCCCTTCCAGAAAACAGAAATAGAGAGAACTCTTCCCATTCTTTGAGGCCAACACTACCCTGAGACTAAAACCAGACAAAGATTTTGTAAGAAAGGAAAATTACAGACCTGTATTTCTCATGAATATAAAAATCTTCCACAAAAATAGAATCTAGCAGTGTTTTAAAAGAATTATTCACAATGACCAAGTGGGATTTATTCCACATATGTAAAGCTGGTTCAAAATTTAAAAATCAGTCATTGTAATTCACCATATCAACAGGCTGAGGAAGAAACATACTATGATCATATCAGTTTGCATAGAAGCATTGACAAAACCCAACACCCATTCGTGATAAAAACTCTTAGTGCAGGAGGAGTAGAGGGGAACTTCCTCAAATTGATAAACAACATCTATGAAAAACCTACAATTAACAGCTGATGATATCTTTAAGTGATGTATTTTAAAATAAAAGACAAATGATTATTATATGATTTGTGACCTAATATATTCTTGCCTTCACACATGAATGGGAGCCAGACTGGGTAAAAGGCTTTTATGTCTCAGTCTTTTCTTTAAAAATATGTATATGTATATGTGTATGTGTATGTGTATATGTATATGTATATTATTTATATTTATATTTATTTGGTGAATATTTTCTCTCATTTACTTTAAGTGATTTCAGGACACAGCTAAAGTTGGCCAGGAAGATTACAGTTTTGACCCACTGAACATTAGTGGTAGTATCTGTAACTATGTAGCCTATTTATAGAAAGAAAGTT